AATTTCGTCTTTCTCCATGTTGATGTTATCTCTTTGACAGTTCGTATTCAAATGGATGTATCTCCCGGAAATCGTGATCTATTTATATTTATATGGTTTTTTAGGCTGACGTAGTGAGTATATAAGCAAGCGAAAATATTTTTTTGGATTTTTATGCGGACCTGAAGTAACCGATTATCATTACTTTTGGATCACCCTGGTATATATATATATATATATATATATATATATATATATATATATATATATATATATTGTTGGATACCTTGTTGCCATCTTGTAGGTACTAACATAATCCCGATGCTGGCCAAAGATGTTGATAGACCAATCTTTTCCTCTGGATCAATTCCGGTCGATTTTTCTCAATTTCTTGCTCGAGTCTCAATAGTTGTTGGCAGTAGAGATCCGAATCGATGGTTTTGCACGGCGGTAAAAGCTCATAATAAACGATGCCCTTCCAATCCCACCATACACACAGCATCACTTATTACGTGTTAATCCGGGTCTCTATGTGTGCCTGTGGAGCTTGACTACCCTTTGACCATGATCTTTTTCGCACGCTCTTGTCGTAGGTGATCCACTTTTCATCACCAGTAATTAATATCTTCAGGTTTATGGTTCAGTTTCATTACGTTTCAAATTTCAATAGAGAATCGCAAATGAGGACACGATTCATTAGGTTTCTTTCAGTAAGCTCGTGTGGTACCCAAATATCGAGCTTTTTTGTATACCCAGACTTTTTAAAATGGGTCAAAAAAGGTTTTGTGGGCAATCCTCAATTCCTCGGCTATGTCATAATTACTAATATCTCGCTCCACTTTTTCAAAAATGTCATCGACTTTATCTATATGAGGGCCACCAGAGCGAGCTGCATCTTTGACATCAAAATTCCTGTACTGAAAACGCTTGAATCAACTTTGTGCTACTCTTACTGACACTGATCTTTTTCGCGATTTGAGTCGCATTTTATTCTCTTTTGTACTAAATCTTCAGAATGTATCGACTTTCTTCGTTAGATTCGCTCATTTTGGCGGACAGAAAAACAATTGAAAAATGGCGGGAAAGTGTTTTTTATTTTTTCTTTTTCTTAAAGTCCTCTACAGTACAACAAAAGATATTTTTCATCAAATTTATGTAATCAGAATACGAAGAAACTTTTCCCAGAATATTAAAATATTAAAAAATAAAAAGTAAATAAAAAATGCTAGGAAAATGCAAAAAATTTTTTAAAGCTCAAATTAATACAAAAATTATACTTGTATAAATGTATGTAAGGAAATGCAAGAGTTAATTAATAAACTAATTTTTAAAATGCTTATGAGACAGAAATACTCTATTATTCTTAATGCAGACATTTTAAAACTTCAAACCTTAATAAAAATTATGTCAAATAAATATAAATCAGCAGAAAACGGTATAAATGAGTACATACTGGCCATGGATAATCAGGTGAAGTCATGTAAATATAACGAGGAGCGTTTTGACTCTTTATTAAAATATTAAAGTGAGTATCAGCGCGCAAAACCAGGTTCTTTAAAGACTTATTATCTTCACCTACGCTTTATGATAGTACCTTAACAAAAAATTATTCAAATAAAAAAAGTTACTACGTATAGTAGTGTCATAGGCGAAAATTTAGGTATATAGTTGAGGATCCCTCGTTAAGCATCTACGCCCAAGCTCTCGCGTCTTCTTGAATGTGGGTGCTCTGGATCAAAATTCCGCTCGAACACTGCTCGAGGCAAGCAGAGCAATTATGGTTACGCGTAGACAACTACGGCTATCCCCGCGTCTACGGTTGCTTCTATAGGTCTCAAAGTGATAATGCCGACACAGTCCGACTTATCGGCCAAGTCCAAATGGCTACAGATTCCTTGCTATAACAGATCTCATCCGCAGAGATTTTAACACCTACCACCGCGAATGGCTCGGTTTACATTTTACTTTATTTTGCGGCAACATCGCACATGATTTGATCTGCACATTTAGGGTATAATGCTCTTCAAATTATATAATTTTCAATCGCCTCCTTTTACATAAAATCTATTATTACATTTTATTTATATCGTATATTTTAGTTTTCCGTTACCGATACCGTAACAGCTTATTAAAGTCCACTGCTGAACATAAGCCTCCTTCAGAAATACCTCATAGGGGGGACATTTACCATAGTAGGTACTACTATAAACACTTACTACAATATATTCGATGCTCATGTATTATTTATAACAAATACTACTTTTGGTGGGATTTTCAGTCTAAACGATGTAGCCTGTTACTGATGCGGATCAAACCCAAATTTATGGCTTCATTTGTCTCACTGGTATGGAAATTGATGTGCTAACACCCGAAATTCATTTAATAGGGTAATACACCCATTTTCAAAAAGTGTTTTGAATGAATCCTAGAGTGATAATGAACCACTATAATTCTTATATAATTTTTTAAAACCGAATAGTGCTATAAAATTACTTTTAATCTATCTTTTAATTTACTACAATTCGAGCATAAGTACGCCGGGGAAGTTATGGATTCGAGTGCCAACTGATTTAAATATGAGAAATACTTTGTTACCTCCGAAGGGCATTGTCTACAAAAACTGTGAAGATCACTTTGTGTTTTGGGCATATTGTACACTTAACTAGTCATATGCTTTTCACCCTCTTGAGCTGCACATAGTCTATTGCGTCATCACCGTAAGATTCCCTTCCGGACCTGAAAACAAGAATTAGATTATGTGACATTGTAATCATAGATAAGAATAACTATGTATTATCAAAATGCACTAACTGTGTATGTGTATCTAACCTGTAATTGTATTAATAAAAGTTGGTAATAGGTACTTACATTGATGTTTTAACATTTGTACAACACCTGTACTAATGGGTGACATTCAGGGCTCGATTCTCGGCCCATTCCTATTTCTAGTGTATATTAATGACTTACCTTCTCTTGTAGAGGATAGTCATGATATAGTATTATTTGCTGATGATACTTCCTTGATTTTTAATCTTAAACGTCAATCATTTAAATGTGACGAAGTGAATAATGCTATATCAAAATTAGTGCATTGGTTTAACGTTAATAATCTACATTTAAACGGAAATAAAACTAAATGTATTAAATTTACAACAACGAATGTTAAAAATCTGAGTACCAATGTGTTTTTAAATGGGGAAGAACTGAGCCCTGTTGAATCCACTGTTTTTCTTGGCATCACTCTCGACGCAAAGCTTCAGTGGGGCCCCCATATATTCAAACTAGCAAGCAGACTAAGTTCTGCAGCCAATGCTGTAAAAAAGATTAGAGGTCTCACTAGTGTCGAGACAGGTAGATTAGTTCATTTTTTTTTCTAAAAAACGTTTATTTCAGTTATTTCCATAGCATAATGTCTTATGGGATTTTGCTATGGGGAAATGCGGCTGATTCAGAAACTATTTTTGTTTTACAGAAGAGGGCTATTAGAGCTATTTACAACTTAAAATCGAGAGAGACTCTTAGAGATAAATTTAAAGAAATAAATATATTAACTTTGGCCTCTCAGTATATTTACGAAAATTTAATGTATGTTCACAAAAACAAAGGTAGTTTAAGTAAAAAAAGTGATATACATTCTGTAAACACTAGGAACAAACACAAGCTAGTGATACCAGTTTCTCGACTCCACAGAGTCAGTAATTCATTCTTGGGACAATGTATACGCTATTACAACAAGGTCCCGGAAAGTGTACAGGCTCTCTCTATGAGCAAGTTTAAATGTTTTGTTAAGTTGAAACTGTATAAAAAGGGTTATTATATGTATAGTATAAATGAATACATGGTTGATAATAACTCCTGGGAATGAGGTGATCGCTTCCAAGCTGTTTCTAAAATAAATTTTGTACTTATATAGTTTGTACAACCATTAATGTAAAATTTGCTTTAAAAAAAAGTCCCGCTGGGTTTCTTGCTGGTTCTTCCCAGGACAAAGGTTTTTTTTCGAACCAGTGGTAAAGTAAAAAATGACGTAGTAAGAATTACACATGTTATCTATATTGAATAAAAATTATTCTATTCTATTCCTCAACTCGGCAGAACAATAATCTGGATTGCACGCAAAAAATGTTGCCACCATCAATGTATTTATAGATGGTAGATGATTACTTTCTGCTTTTACAAATCCGTCTTACATGATGCCTTTTCAATAAAATTCAACAATCGTAATGATAACTTGAAAATTTTCGAAATAACATAGAACATTAGCTAGTTCTCTTAACCAGTGACGTCACGACGGTATCTAATATGGCGGACAGCGTTTTGCAGATTTGAGGCACAAAGACATTTGAGGATAAAAACATTATTATTAAAATTGAAATTTTTATAAATAGAAATCAATGTTACTTTGTACAAAATCTATCATAAATATACATTTTTTATTTTTCTTACATGGTGTAAAACCCTATTACTAGTGGTAAAATTAAATATTTTGGACAACCGACTTCAATATAAATAAAATGAGAACATTGTCAATGTTGTCGAAGTCAATTAAATATAATTAAGGATAACTCAAAAATACTGGTCAGATTTTGATCAAATTGTATATGGGCCCACATGACAAGCACCAGCTTTCAAGTAAAAAAAAAAATCATCAAAATCAGTTCATCTATAAAAAGTTCTACGCACATTAAAAATAGTCGAAAATAGTACCTGCTCCTTTTTTTGAAGTTGGTTTAAAACGAAAACAAAAAGAGGTTTTTTTATTTATATTTTGTGTTTCTAACGTTCTTTGCTAGAAGCCTTGTAAATTTTTGCTTATTGCTATATCATTGATTGTAGTTGCTTAATAATAGTAAGACGCATTGGATAAGGCGTGCTGAAATTACTTTATGAAATATATTTCTTTTGACAAATGAAGATAACAGTGTTCCAATAAACATTGTGACATAATTAGATAAATTGGTTTATATATAAACTTTTGAAAATAGTTCGACTAATAAGTCAGAATTGGTGTTCCTAAGAAAATGAAGTTCTTTGCTCTCTTTCTTGTGGTAGCTGTAGCCTTCGAGGTAATTACATTTAGATTATAGTTGTTTATACATTATAACGTTTATCTTTTAATAAGTGTACTTTTACTGCAAATAATGTCAATCACGTTTACCCGCACTTGGTTAAAGTTGGAATACCAGGCTCAGACGAAAAAGGGTCTCCGGTTCTCTTCACTCACCATACGAATCATAGCAGAATTAAGCGGCTGTTCTACTCTGGTATTCTGAGAGCGTGGTCTTCCAATTACTATAGACGCAGCGTGGCTTTGCCGCGTATAAACATACTTTATTAATACATATTCTTCCAGCCACAATTTATGAGTTTTAAAATAGTTTGCCATGTTAGAATTTACAAAAAAACAGACTGTTAAATTAATTAATATTTTTTTCTAGGCTGTCTTAGGCCAATGCCTTAGACCATGTGCCCCGAATGTCGTCACTATTGCGGGTCCTGGTTGCTTACCTGATGCTGAAATTTTTTACTCGCCAGCTGTTGCTACAAGCCCCGCAATCATTCAGTCAAACTGCTTAGCTGCTAACTTAGCGGATACACTGTCACTTCTTACTGTAAGTTCATTACTGGCCGAAAAACTGCCGCTTGGTTGTCCATCTGGATGTGGATGCGGATGTGGATGCAGATGTGGATACGGATGTGGATGCGGATGCGGATGCGGATGTGGATATGGTCCTTATGGATATGCCCTTTAATCTTGTAAGATCCTTAAATATACGAAGTTTGTTTGAAATTAAAGTATCTGACAATGAAAGAAACAAATTTACTTTTATACACTAAAATTGGATGATTTAATTCTTAAGAGATTAAGTTCTTAATTTCTTTATTTATGATTTAATAAAAAATATTTAATACTTTGGTTTTTTATTCTTTTTATGACTATTTTTTTTCACCAATAACTTCTATACTTTTGATTTTGAGCATATAAATCTTTGCCGTGTTTTGACGGCGTGAGAAAATCCACTACCTCGTATCCTTCAATGCATGTCGTAAGAGGAAAACTAAAATAAGACATGGGCTGTAGCAACTTCCTGATAACAACTCAAAATAATAATAAACATGGCTGCCACGCTTTTGCAACGCATCACGTATGTTTGCCGAGGCACGCGTGGACTACTTTGCAATAATATTACGCAAAAGAATAACCTCCTTGACGCGTCGTGTGCGTGATAGCACCAGCAGCTCCCTAGCTTCCATATATAGAAGGCAAGATTGCTTGCCCTGTGATGAGGCACTGGAACACAGTGCACATGGGTTACAAGTCCAGTATGTTTAATAATAAATGATAATTTTGGTATTGTATAATAATTTTTGTATTCTGTAAATATACTCACCCCTAGTTTTATGTGTACTAACAAAATTGATGTATTTACAAAAAAAAAAAAGAAAATTGAAATTGATAATTAGCCTGAGCTTCGGCTCGGCTCGGCAATGGTGTTTACCAAATCAACATCATCATCATCATTATTACAGCCCTTCACAAGTCCACTGCTGAACATAGGCCTACCCCAAGGAATGTCACGAAGCACGGTCCCAAGCCACCTGCATCCATTGACTTCCTGCATGTCTTACCAGGTCGTCACTCCATCTAGTGGGGGGTGTCCTACACTTTGCCTACCGGTACGAGGCTGCCACTCGAGAACCTTTCTTCCCCATCGGTTGTCGGTTCTTCGAGCTATATATGACCGGCCAATTGCCACTTTAGCTTAAAATCCGTTGGGCTATGTCGGTTATGCGGATGTCCTCGTTTTTAAGTCTATTTCGCAGAGAAACTCCGAATCGCTTCTTCATACGGGCAGCAGTTTACCAAATACGAAAGTAAAATCATCACCCTCCTTCTAAGGCAGTCGCGTAAAAAGGTAATATAAAATAAGTACAATTTAATTCATGTATGTCACAAATTTACTGAATTAAGCACAGTAAGATTCGAAACAACGATAATTGCAATTAAACAATTAATTTTTAACTTTTTATCCCATTATCCTTGCATCTTCTGACGTTCACAAATCCACTCACGTTTTTTTTGTTTTTGTTTCCCGAGTATAAATTGGTGTGTGCTGTATTTATCTTCTATACATATAATAAAACTGTAAATAGCAGATGTCTGTACATTTTTTATTTTTGTAATAAAAGTGATTGAGGGGTACTAAAAATAAGTAATTAAATACATTTCCACCATTTTTAGAATTTTCTGTCTGTCTGTCTGTCTGTCTGTCTGTCTGTTTGTTTGTTAACGTATCACGTATAAAGTACTAATTTATATCATAAGAATTGTTAAGGAAATTATAAAGTGTATCTTCGGGTTACATTTAGTCTTTATTTCATTAAAATCAGTTCATTCCATCAAAAGTTATGATAAATATTCTGAAGTATGGGTAGGGAAGTATAGGTACGAATTTGCTCAACGGTGGCTTTGTTTGAGTCATCAAGTGCATTTAAAACTAATATCATATCATAAATCATAGTTAAATTATGTAAAATAATGATATAATTATGTATATCTAAAACGCAGTAAACAAAAGTAATAAAGAACGTATTAAATATATTATACAAAAATATATTAACCTTATTAACTAAAATCTGAAGCACAATAGTTAACCCATTTCTTCGATAGATGGTGGTGTTGTGAAAATGTATTTTTTATTTAATCTTTGTTTTATTAAAATTGGTTCATTCTATCGAAAGTAATGATTATTATTTTGAAATGTAGGTTCGAATTTGTTCAATGGCGCCATAAAATCACAGAAATAGTAATAAAAAGATTTCTGTGTAAAAAAACCGTTCCATAATAATTAATATATTTATACTTAAAACACAAAAAGAGATAGGATGTTTTCTCACACAAAGGACGTAATAAATGGAATTGTACAAATTACAAACTTTTCTGAATTGCTGTGTTGAGATTTTTCGCCGATGAATCGTATTAGACTTACTGAAGAAATTTGTATCCATCGAAGCCATATAACGGAACCCGACCAAAAATAAAAATTTTGCAACGAAATGTCGTGATATTGTATTTATAATATACGCAAAATCAGAACTGCCATTTTAGCGCTTTGGGAACTAGATTTAGCACTTTTTTGGAATGTATAGCGCGCATTTCGAAATTTTAGCACCTAGCGCTTAATCCAGCGCTTTTTGGTGTATTTAGCACACATTTCAATATTTTAGCGACTAGCGGGTTATTAACACTTTTATAGCAGCACTGTTAGTCCACATTACCGATAATAATAATAATGACCTTTATTATTTTTTCCCACAAATAGTACATTGCAGTTTATCTTTTTCAAACATATTTTTTCCACAAAACAAAGAGCATGGGAGACGAGTCCAAACTAGGATACCCTGTGCTATGGATCTCCTGGCTTCCCCTTTAGGATGATCAACTTGATTTTTCTGCCGACTTCCAAAAAGGAGCCGGTACTCAATTCGACTGTATGTTTTTTTTTTTTTTCGTTTTTTTTTTTTATGTGTGTTACCTCAGAACTTTTTTCTGGGTGAACCGATTTCGATGATTCTTTTTTTATTTGAAAGCTGGTACTTCTCGTGTGGTCCCATATGAATTTGATCAAGGTCAGACCAATAGTTTTTAAGTTATTCTTAAATAACTTATATTGAAGTCGGCTGTACAAAATTTTTAATTTTAAATTATTTACCGACGACTATAAGCGGGGAAATCCCCTTTATTAAAGTTTTCGTTCATGGTTTTGGCAACGCATTTATTTTGCTTTATTCAGTTTTAGGCCCGCCATATACATACGGAATTCCGTTTCGAGATTCCGTTTCGATATTCCGATTCGGAATCCCGAACGCAGCAAGTCCATATAAAATCTATGACCCGCCACACACGTACGGTAGTTTTTCGTTCGATATTTTGCGGGTAAAACGGGATTCCGTTTGTGTGTGGCCGACCGTTCGAAATTCCGAAACGGAATCTCGAAACGGAATTCCGTATGTATATGGCGGGCCTTAGTCAGTTGCTTAGAGCACAGCTAAGTTAAAAGTTACTTAGAAGTTATAACACAAAGAAACTGTGTAGCAACCGCAATCAGATGCTGACATCTGAAACTAAGTTGCGAAATACATTGCACTTTAAAACAATTAATGACATTTTTATTGTTCGTACAGTACTAACTACTGTTGACAGCAATTGCTATAATTATAAGTCGATGTCCTGCGAAGTATTGATACATCAAAAAAATATTGCCAGAAAAAAAACTTAATGTTGTTTTCTTTATTATGATTATATAAACACAAACTTTGTTTGTAGTTAATTTAGCACGAAATCTAGGGCTTTTTAAAGCGCTGTTTTCATGAAATCTAGCGCTTTTTGTGTTGTCCTAGATCTGAATGAGTTTTTTTTTATCTGGCAGCACTGCCCAAAAACCCTCTATTAAGAAGTAACTTTCCTTTCAGTTTTAAGCGCGTTCAGTTCCCAGTTACAGTGAGTGTGTGTTATGCGATGACCGTAAATAAAGCGCAAGGTCAAACTTTACGCGTTGTAGGAGTGTACCTCAGTACTGACTGTTTTGCACATGGCCAACTCTATGTTGCTTTTTCCCGCGTTAGTAGCCCCCGTAACCTTTTTGTGTATACCCCGGCTAAGCCTACTTCTAACGTCGTTTACACAGAAGCTCTATCATAAAGGACTTAGAACTTTGATGATAATGATTTATTTTGTTACCACTGATTGATGAGTAATGAAATAAATCGTTTAATATTCTCTTACCTAAACGACAAATTCTTTATGTAAAACCTGTATACGCGAGCTACGCCGCGGGCACAGCTAGTTATAAATAAATTTTATCTCTCTTAGAAAGAAAATATATGATCAACATTTTCAAGGCTTTTGTTACATTCATGTACTAAAAATATGTTTTAATGACGCTTTGTTTTTTCTGTGTACAACAGAAGGTCCTTCTTTCAGCAGGCACTTATAACAAAAAGTCTTTTGTGCCTTTTATGTCCTGTCTTAAGCTGCGCTGCTACATACCTTTACTTGTTATGTTTTACTCATTCCTTTGAAATGAGTTTCATCACGCTTCGTTCTCGTATTATTTACTTGTTAACTCGTAAAATTGGAATAATAAAATTGCAATTCGCAATTTGTTTGCATAACAAAATAATTATTTTGCGGACATAATATATTTGCCAACTTGCATTGAAGTGTTATTGTGTTAATGTCTGCTATATGATTCATTTCAAGTTAAAGAAGACTTGCGTTTAGCTGCTATATTGATTATACCAGCGCTATTATTTTATCTTTTTTTAAACTATCGTGTTTCAAAAGGAAAATACAATATTATACAGATATAAAAATGGCTATCTAAATGATACAATGAAACTAAATGTATTCTAATAAATCCTATAGATATAACCCGATTCTTGGAAGAGGTCTATCTTTACTACTGGGCTAGATTTATTGACAATCGCAGCTTCAAATTGAAGGTTGACGAGAAGGTCCTAGAGCTTGAAGAAGAGATAGACAAGTTGCGCTAGGATATTTTTTTTGTCCAACTGATGGTAAGTGGATGCTGTAGCCTATAGACATCTACATTTATCCTCAATTAAGAATCAAAATGCAGATGCGGTATTACCCCTGAGGACTGAGATGGAATGCCTCGATTCCAATAAAACGGGTCTCCGGTTCTCTACGCCCACTCTACGAAACACAGCAGTGTTAAGCTGCTACTTT